ACAAAATAAATATTTTATAAACACAATACTGTTTTGTAAAAACTTGATTTGTTTCAAATTAATATAAAATCAAAGAATTAACCTTGGAAAGACAATATAAGTACAACTATTCATAAAATTAAAATATGAAATAAACAATAAAAATTTAAAACAACTGATTAATTTAAAATTATGTTTTAAATATACGATTAATTTTGATACAGTCGTAAAGCTAATGGAAATAATGATAAAATATGTTAAATGACAGATCGGTTTCTTCTGCTCAGAGTTCGGAAATTATTTTCTCCGGACAAAATTTCTAAATAAAATGTTTTTTATTTGAACTTTCTATTTACACGTTATTTTTATATGAACTTTTTATTTTTAAGGAAATTACTCATTATTTAATATTTAGTTATTTCAGAACTTATTGATAGTTTAATCAATCTTCATTAACTTTATATACTTTTCAAAAAAGATCTCTATACTTATTAGAATGGGCGCCCTCAGCAGGGCCGGCGCGAGTAGGTGTCACGTGGGGGGGGGGGGTGCCATTACAACTTTTGCCGACTAAAAAAAAAAAAAAAAAAAGGAAAAAAAAAAGGTCCTCGTTTTCCAAATTTTGCCGACTGTCATGACGACATTTGCCGACTGTTTAACCTATATCGAAAGAGTCGACATCTGCCGACTAACTAGTCTAAAACGATCCAATTTGCCGATTAAGGGTCCAGTTTGCCAACTAAAAATCATTGATGGGGGGGGGGGGGTGTGACACCCCCCACACACCCCTATCGCGCCGGCCTTGGCCCTCAGGATTTTTTGATGCTTCAGAAAGGACACTTTTGCACATTGTACAAACTCTAAACTTAAGTTTAGAGTTTGTACAATACAAAACTTAACAATTTTGTTGGTGGGTACAACTGTACATGTAAGAATGGGTTTAACACAAGTAATGGAGGAATAGAGACACCGTCAGATTTATGTGGAGGTATATTAAGTTTCTACTGATAATTTATTTTAGTTTTTCTTCAAATTATATATAAGAATTGGAAATCATTGAATAGCCGAAAGAAAGGCAGTAGTTAGTAGGAGCGAAAAACTTTAAGCATGTCAAGTATTGTAGTATTTTATTGGCTGCTTATCGAAAGATAGTAGAGACATTTCAATAAGGTATTTCAATTCTTGATAAGTTATTGCAGGTTTTATTAGACAGTTACTACTCTGTATCTATATATGTAAAAAAAACAACAACAGTAAAACATAAATTAAAGATAATGGTTGACCCTATATATAGTTAAGAATAAAGCACGTGATTTGATATATAATTCGTAGTAGCATAAAATGAGTAGCTTGTGATAGATGATTGAACCTGAAAAGGTTTTTGTAATTTATGTGGCACTTTTTTATGGTGTTTTCACAAAAAGAGATTTAAATAAAAATGATTCTAAATCACAAAGGTTTCCTATGAATTTTGTGTCCGTTTTTGTTGTAAAAATAAAAAGTCTGCAAAAGCGGTTAAGTTTATTAATAAAACTTTGTTTTATCAAAATTTTATTATAATTTCGAAAAACATTAGTAAAATTATAACATCAAAATTGCAATATCTATAAATAATAAACACAAAATAACAATACATGATTCAATTTTTTAAATAACTTCTGCTTAGTTATATCTGTTCTTAAGGCCTTTTCTAATTAACAAACCAATGATTGCATTTATGGCAGAGTCACTTAGCAATATTAGGTTATAAGTAATAAATTTATCTTACTTTTCTACATTTAATGATATACTAGATGAGTTTGTGTCATTTCGTTTATAGATATATTTCGTTTATAGATATATAGTTTATAGTTATAGACTCCTGTATTTTGTTAGATGCAGTGTTTTTCCTTATGCACTTCCAAAATGTCATGCCTGGTTTTCTCAAAGTACTGTTGCGGGAAGTAGCTTCTTTTAACTACTCCAGGTCAGGTCAGGATAATCGAGATCAATCTTGCTACTGGTTTCACGTAACCCAGTACCACCTGCCACAAGCCCTGCTGCCTTGCAGAGTGTGCTCTTCTTATGCAAAGGCTAGGAGAAATAAACTCCGACTAAAAATTCCCCTGCCTTGGGGCTCTTGGTTGAGTAAAGGCTAGAGATGGTGTCTCGATAAAAACACTCATCTTGGGCAGATGTTAACTGCATCCAGCTAAACATCCCCTGCCTTGGGGCTCTTGGTTGAGTAAAGGCTAGAGATGGTGTCTCGATAAAAATACTCATCTTGGGCAGATGTTAACTGCATCCTGCTACTGTCTTGTAGAAGGCCTCCTAGGCAAAGACTTTAGGGGTAAGCAGAAAAATTCTGCTAACCAGCCTCGAACCCCTTCTTCATCTATTAGGCTGGCGTAGATGTAACCTGTGTTACATTGTTTCCTGCCTAGGATGATGAATGCTGGATCTCCTTGACTCTACTCATAGAATTTTGCTTATGCCTCTATGATAATGGCTATGCAACTCTTCCTGTTATCTCCATATGAGGGTACAGCTCTAAAACTCAGTTTAATGGTTCTGAGGCGGGCTGGTAGTAAGGTTTCCCGAATTCTGTGGTAGCTCTCAGAGAGGCTGATTCCATCAACAGCTGCAAAATATCAGAGTATTAACAGTGCCATGTTGCGCATGGATGGTGTCCCTGTTAATGCTTTTGGTGTGCATTGTCAAGGCCACATAAGGAGCCCTATGTCACGGCTTAGGGTTAATTAACAGGACTGAGACAACTGCATAGCTCATTGATTAGGAGGCTGTGCTCTATCTATGAATGAGTCAAGTTCTCAATAAACCCAAATCATGACCAAAGTAACCAAAAATTTAAAACCTAAAAAACCATCCCCACCACCTAAATATTTTAATATATTTTTTACAAATATTCGCGGTCTACGAAGCAACTTTCCATCAGTTGAGTCTTACCTCCTGCAAAATTCACCAGACTTGCTTGCTCTCAGTGAAACAAATTTAAGTTCTGCAATTCCTTCTTCAGATGTCAGTGTTGATGGGTACTATCCTTTGATTCGTAAAGACTCCAATAGTCACATGTTAGGTTTAGGGGTATACATACGCATTAATTCCCCTATTTGTCGTGAAATCAGGTTCGAATCCTTTGACCATTCTTTTATGTGCTTTCGCCTAGCACCTCTTCACTCTATCACCTTTCTCTTTGTTCTTTATCGTTCTCCTTCTTCCCATGATTGCACTCTTTTAGATGTTATCTCTGATCAAATTGACCATGCCCTCTCTCTTTACCCCTCTGCCAATATTGTTGTTGTTGGTGATTTTAATGCCCATCACACTGAATGGCTTGGCTCTAACACCACTGATCCTGCTGGCACTAAAGGCTTTAACTTCTGCGTTTCTCAATCTCTTACTCAGGTAGTTAACTTTGTGACTCGTTTTCCTGACAACCCTAATCATTTACCTTCACTCCTTGACTTATGTCTTGTCTCTGACCCTAGCTTATGTTCAGTTTCTTCCTTTTCTCCCTTAGGTGGTTCTGACCATGCAATGATCTCTATAAATCTTTCTTCTCGTACTTCTTTTTTGGGCTCACCTTATCATCGCACCACCTACTACTACCCTAAAGCTGACTGGGATTCCTTTCGTGATTTTCTTCGTGATGGTCCTTGGGCTGATGTTTTTTCTCTCTCAGCTGACAAATGTGCCTCCTACGTAACCTCCTGGATTCAGGCTGGAATGGAAGCTTTTATTCCTTCTCGTCGGTTTCAAGTCAAGCCTCATTCTACTCCATGGTTTTCTCCTTCTTGTGCGGCTGCTATATCCAATCGTAACCATTTTTTTCATCTTTTTCAAAAGAACAACTCTCTTGAGAACAAATGGCTATTTATTATTGCAAGAAATCGATGTAAAAAGGTGCTTTCTGATGCTAAACTCCATTATTCTCAGTTCACTAAATCTCGCATCTTATCGCAGAAGTTAGGCTCTAAAGACTTTTGGAAAATCTTCAACAGCATTGTTAACAAGGGTAGATCTAACATTCCATCTCTCATTCATGGGACTGATCTTGTTACCTCTCCCAGGGATAAGGCAGAACTGTTTGCAAAGAACTTTTCTTCTAATTCCACTCTTGAATCTTATGGACATTCTCTTCCTTCCATTCCAGTCAAACAGGTTGACCCATTGTTAGACATTCAAATCACTCCGGCTTCTGTTGCTAAAGTCATATCTCAATTAAACTCGTCTACAGCTTGTGGTCCAGACAACATTCCTGTCACAGTCTTGCAGAATTGTTCTCCAGAACTTTCTTCAATTCTCTCTAAACTATTTAACAAGTGTTTGACTGAGTCTTGTTTTCCTGCTTGTTGGAAAATGGCATCTGTGGTTCCAATATTCAAAAACTCTGGAGAAAATTCTGACCCCTCCAATTATCGTCCGATCAGTCTTCTTTCTGTTATTAGCAAGGTCTTAGAGTCTTTGATCAACAAATTTCTCACATCTCATCTTGAGTCAAATAAACTGCTGTCAGACAATCAATACGGTTTTCGATCCTCTCGCTCTACGGCCGACTTGCTAACTGCTGTAACTGAAAGATTTTATCGTGCATTAGATGGAGGCGGTGAGGCTAGGGCTATTGCTCTCGACATATCTAAAGCTTTCGACAAAGTTTGGCATGCTGGTCTTCTCCATAAGCTTGCTTCATATGGTGTTTCTGGGAAAGTTTTTGAGATTATCAAATCATTTCTTTCTGACCGGTTTATTAAAGTCATCCTTGAAGGCCAACACTCTTCTTTATTTCCAGTAACTTCTGGGGTTCCCCAAGGTTTCATCCTGGGCCCTGTTTTGTTTCTTATCTACATAAACGATCTTCCTGACAACGTTTCATCTAAAGTAGCTCTTTTTGCTGATGACTCAACTTTATACTCCTGTCTTGACAAAAAGTCTTCTCTTTTCGATCGCCTACAACAAGCAGCTGATCTTGAATCTGATCTCACTTCAGTAATAGATTGGGGTTCACAGTGGCTTGTGAATTT